CTGGAAATTTCTTTTTGCTTTCAACTTGAGAATTAGTACATGACAAAATAAGGACAGCAGATAGATCTTGCTACTAGATACCAAATCTGCAGCTTTTACATTATCTCTAACTAAAAAATCAAAACCAACCAATACAGAATAAAATTATCCTATTTCTAAATCAAAGGGAAAGAAAGCTGTGTGCTTACACACATTTCTGGAAAATCCAATAGAATAAATAAGATATCCACATTTGCAACCATTATTAAATAATTTCATTCTATGCTGAAAAATAGCAAAGCAAAAACTAGTAAGCGTCTTTATAAACTAATTAAATATAACTATATGTAACAGACCTACTGAAAATAAAACAGCAATTCAAATGGTCAACCTTTAGTCCATAAGCTCTTAATAACCCTGTGACAAATATTGATTGAATTCAACATTAATAATTCATTCTTCCTGGTTTCAGGCATTTCATTCTTTCTCTGATTTCAGTAAGGTGTCTCAGACTTAAAAATATCTATTACATATTTTGTAATAATAGTACAAGGTTCTCGTATACTATCATATAATTTTTTGTTCAACAGAAATTTCATTTGTTAAAAAAAAGTTAAAAAGATAAATGGATTTGGGTTTTAAAGCCAAATCTTAAATTGTTTCTGTTAAATTTATTCACAATTTTTATACAAACTCATTGTGATTAGAGCATGGAATTCGCAGACAACTGTCCTGGTTTTCTTGGCACTATATGTTGCCCTCTAAATGTCTTCTGGTTAATTTTGTTGGGTTGCTGTCTCATTGATTTATATGCCACATCTTCTTTTAAAGTTCCCTTAAAGTCTGTGCTGATGTAAACAGATATATTCCTTACTTCACATGTAATAATTTAAAATTTGAAGGGAACATTTATTGCAATAATTAAATGAACCCTTCAATTGCTTTATCAGTGGTCTCGTGGTAGCATGTTCGCCTCGAGTGCGGGAGGTCATGGGTCATCCTCATCATCATCAATTGCTTTAGAAAATTAAATCCAATTTAAAAGCACAAACCTCAACACTTAGGAAGGAATTATGGCCATAGTTGTGGCCTCCTGGTTTCAGAATCTTGGAAGTGGTATTGATCAAAACTTGCTAATAATGAATTTATTTTTCAGTTTTAATTTTGCATTAGAATAACTTTAGCAATGAAATAAAATCTTGTACTTTTAGGCAGGAACAAATACATTTCAGAAGGATATTAGCATCAACACATTATATGGTATACACCTGAACCACCTCTTTTTTGAAACCCCAGAATCTTTTCATACATGGCCTTTAAACAGAAAACAAATGCATTTTAACAGGAATAACCTTTGTTTAATGTAAATAGTTTACATGCAAAGGTAGGTCAAAACAACCTAACCAATCACTATGTTTGCCTGAAGGCTGTGGTCATTCACCTGTCTGGGGACTGGTCATGATTTTATTACTCCTTTACAAAATATGTTAACCATAAACAAGTATGTCTGGAAGTTAACCATTTTAATTGTTCAGTGAAACAGTTGATATAATGAATAAATTAAAAAAAAATAATTTTTTTTTAGAAGATTCAAAATGGTTTCCATTTATAAGCCAGCATGCAAAGCTAAAGATTATAAATAGTTACATAATTTACAGTTTAATGTATCTGAAAAAGTCAGCAATAAAGCATGCCATAATATGTAACTATTCTTATACATACAAATCCTTCTATAAATTTGTCTGACTGAAATCTTGAGCAAATCTGATCTTGTCAGACCTCTATTATGCAGTCAGATGAAATCATTCATGTAATGCTTCAAATAAGGAAATGATCTTTTCTTTCACTGTGATTTGTTTGAAAATTTCTATCAAAATGTTAAGGGTGCATAATCAAATTCAAGGCTGGTAGTGCAAGATCCTAAGTTATCATTTCTTCAACATTCAATACTAGTCTATGCCTTTCAAATCAAAGTTAAAAAGAAAATTGTTTGAAAAGTTATCACTTATGACAAGTCTACACCTCATGAATTTGATGTCAAAATTTAACATCTTCCCCTTCTGTATATTAAATGGGTCTGGTTACCAGAACACACAAATATTTTACTTGGGTCCAATTACAATGAATTAACAGAATTGCAATAGTCACACAAACTTTTGCATCACAAGTCAAAGATCTTGCATTATATACAACTTTTTAAGTCTGCTGTCTGACTCAAGTACATATCAATAATGGTTATGATTTTATTTAAATCGTTAATGGTGGAATACTATGGCTCCCATGTCTCCTTTAGTCAATGGCTTTCTCATTTCTATCCATGCCAAAAGAATGATTGAAAAAAATAGAAAATTCTTATAAAATCAATGTTTTAGTCTGGACTAACTGATCAATCATCCTAACAAATATAAAAAGTTTAACCATCTAATATTTTACATTCTGCAGTATCCAACAAATAAAATCATTCATGAATTTGTACTTTTATTTATTTACATCTACTAACTTTTTATGATGTTTTAGTCTTTAGTGATATTTTTAATCCTCACAGACTGACTTGCAAACTGTTTGTCTGTTTGTATATGTGATAATATACAATTCAATATATTACATATATTTAGTACATGTATTTAAAATCTATATATATTGGGCTAAATTTCATACAAGATATATATATATATCTCATAATCTGATACAGTGAAACATCTTTTATCTGTGGATAGTGTGCTTTTCATAATTTACTTGAAGTTTAGGCTGAGGGATGAAAGAGTTTGCTTCTTGTATTTATTTGGTAGCATTAGAAAACTGTAATCCGACGGCCTATATTGGATAAGCATGGGATGTTTGAATAAAATTGAGAATGGAAATGGGTAATGTGTCAAAGAGACATCAACCCGACCAAAGAGCAGAAAACAGCCGAAGGCCACCAATGGGTCTTCAACACAGCGAGAAAATCCCACACCCCAAGGCTACTTCAGCTGGCCCCTAAACAAAAATGTGTACTAGTTTAATGAAAATGGACGTCACACTAAACTCCAAAACATATAAATGAACTAAAATTAAAAAACATACAAGACTAACAAAGGCCAGAGGCTCCTGACTTGGGACAGGCGCAAAAATGTGGTGGGGTTAAACATGTTTTGTGAGCTCTCAACCCTCCCCCTATACCTCTAGCCAATGTAGAATAAACAAACACACAGCAATACACACAGTAAAACTCAGTTTATAAGAAGTCTAAGTCCGATGTCAGAATAGCTAACAAAAGAAACGAAGCAAAATGACAATGATACATAAATTAACAAAGGACTACTAGCAGCTACTGACATGCAGCTGCAGAGCTTAATTAAACTGATTGAAAGATTATGTCTTCATCATATGATGAATGCAGGGATGGAAGCAACTGAAAATGTTAAATTAGTACATCTGCAAATATGGGATCCAAAATTACAGGCTAAGCTACTAAATGCAAGTTTACTGGACAATAACTATCAAATACAGCGAAATTGTCATATTTTATCCTTGATTGCCCCCTAGCTAGTCCAAATCAAGGACGTATATTGTCCAAATAACAGTCAGAGAACAGACAAATCTCGGATAATTGTTATTTATTGATACTTATAAGTCTGTGGTAATAAAAACAATATTTGCAGCAGCTCTATAGGATATCATACTTATAACATGTCCTCACTCTTTTCTGAATAAATTTAGAATTCAATTTACCACTCTACATCAACAGAATGAAAAAGGTAACAATTGAGTCATACATGTATATGTACTATATAATTTACCAGACTTCCTGAAAATCATCAAAGGATTGTCAATTATTTAATCAGACAAGCTGCAATGATTCATCTGGTCAACCAAATAAGAAACTACAGAAAAAAGGGGGACCTATTCTATGAGGTCCTGAAAAATAGCAGACTCCGATTTACACTATAATTGCAGTTATCAAAATCTACAACAAGCCCATTTGCCTAGGCCTGTGAAAACCTTCATATATCCTTTAAATGTTGAGAAAAAGACATTTGACCGATAGGCTGGCTGTTGGCCAAAACATATTTCATGATGACTGTAATTGACAGCTTCGTCTGACCCTTATTGCATACATGTACTGTAAATTTAGAAATTATTGTGAGGTTTTTATTAATGCGAATAAAACAACTTGGTGAGTAACGCATTGATGAGAACTCAAATTTGATATCTGATACATATATATCTATATGCAGATTTTTTTTAAATCACAATAACTGATCTCACATATTTTTCTATTCTTCAAAATTGCAATAAATTCTGAATTAAAAGTATTTTTGGAAGTCTGACCATTTGATCACTAAAAAAATATCTGGATTAAACTACATATAATCATGATAATTACAATATAATTTCAGTAAACTCAGGAATTTCTTCTGTAAAACTTAGCACCAGAATTTGCTTCTTGATAAGTTCAGTAAACTGTCTATATATGAACAGCTTCATATAATCATAGTTTTCATTTTCAATATATTTTGACTGCTAGGAAATTCTTTTTAGGGTACAAATGTATTATATATCCAAATCTGCATAATTGACAGCTTTCTTCTTCTACTACATACAATTTTGTTTGAATTCACATTGTTTAAATTGTATGAAATAATTTTACATGCAAATATTTCATCTTTTGTGTCTAATGTTTACAAAGTTAAGTTATCAATATACACGACCAACACCTATATATATAAATAACTTTTCACCTGTCACTGTCCAGACTAATTCTACATATTTTAATTCAACTACTGCATATATAATTTAGCATAATTTCGATACAATGAAATAATATATGCAAAGCATTGTCGTGCAATGAATAAATATGCAGTCTACCTTGCTTAAACTTTGCCCCGTCTGCGGTTACGTAAGAGTAGCTCACTAATCAAACATTCAGCTTTGTTGATTGTCAATTCGTCTACCGACTGTCTGGGGCTGATAACCCTTCCAATACACTAAATGACATCACATGTAAACATAAGTAGGAAATGCAAAAATAAACTTACCGTTAGCAACGACCGTGTTGTACAAAAGTAATGCTGCAAAAGAAGAGAAAATTAAATAAATTTGCAGGAAGTTAATTGCACCTACAGACCGGAAGTCCACATGGAACCTAAGACACCGTGATTCCAAAGACTGTAAAATAAATACTTACCAAAAAGACCAAAACAAAATAGCATGTCTAGGTGAACAGAGACCCTCCCACTCCGACGGGATGATGCATAGAGTCTCGATTCCCCTTGCAGTGGTCATATATCCTGTTTATTGTGCAGACTTAACTCTCAGACGATATACACAGACCCGCCATCACTTTTGATGATTTGCGCATTCGACTGTCTGCGCACTTGCACAATTCTCCGACTGACGTCAAAAAGGATGTTTTTTCTTATATTTTTCTAATATTTTAAACTAACATATTGTCTTGTTAAAACCGCGGTGTTGAAGATTACGTAAAAATACATTTCAAGCGACTTAACTGATATTTTTTTTACCGTTGACCTACATTTTTATTGGTCTAATATTAGATTGTCAAAACGGCCTGGTGAACATGTGCATTTTTTACTACAAAAAGAGAACAGAAGGATTTGTACTTGGAGAACATAACAAAATTATACAAAATTTGATATTATCGATAAACAAATAAATAATTTTCTACAGCTGTGATTGTATTATCAACTTAATTTACAGTGAGAATAGTAGCAACATAATATTTTAATGGTTTAATCAAGGATTTGTGACATTTGTATACTATACAAATCCTTGGTTTAATATAATGCGTGATTAGTGTCTCTTGTTGACAGCATGCTACTATCATCTATGATAAAGCGAGAAAACATTTTCGGACAGCTTTTATGCTTTACCATTTTCAGAAAAGAAATGAATGAATGAATTCTTTATTTGCAAAGCAGTAGTTACATGCTATAGCAAACACAAACATATTTACATTGTGACACATAATAAACAGCAGAGAACAATATTCTAAGAAAGTACAATAGACAAATAATCAACTATAAATTAGATGTGATCTAATCTGTTGGCAGATTTTAAATAATTACACAATTTTCCAGCTAATGATCTAGATTTTGTTTGATACAAATACCTAAGTTTTGTCAGTTATATTTGGCCACGAACAGTAATATTTTGGCAAAAACTGCTTCCTTACAAATCTATACATAGGACACACTAGAGTAAAATGGTACTCATCTTCAACACTTTTCATATTACAGCAAGTACATAATCTGTTTTCTCTTGGTTTATTTTTATATTTGGTATTTGTAAATAAAAGTGTAACAACTTAGAATGCTCGGAAATCGAGCACCTGTCGTATTGATGCATGACGTTCGAAATCGATTTTTCAAATACTTATAGATCCTGAATATTTTCCTAATCATACACAATTAGCTTATAAAATCAAGTAAATACAGACATTGCAATACAATTATGATTGATTGAGATGTGCTTGCTTAACGCCCAGTGGCATACAACTTCAGTATACGAAAAACTGATAAACATCTGCTATGAAAACGGTAGAGCGATATTAGGGGATGACCATTTGATTTTCTTAGGATATGGACAAGAGTATTTTGAAAATAAATATCCTGGCCTGGTAAGAACTTAAAATAAATAACTTGGCACAAGACAGGAGAAAAATGTATGCTCTGTATCAACATGCAGAAAAGAGTTGTGTACATATATACATACAGCAAAGCTGCGGAAAAAATAATATAAAAATAAGAAGATGTGATATGATTGCCAATGAGACAACTCTCCACCAGAAACCAAATGACGTAGAAGTTTGTTAAGCAACAGATGAATTTGAATATCATCAATCAGCAAAAATAAATACAATATATCAAATGGTGGTCCCCTTATGAAGAAAGTAAACTTTGTGAAAATCATAGACTGTCACTTTATATCTCTCAAGAAATGATAAATATTTTTTTTTATTCTACTGATAAAGGGTTCACTGAGAAGCTTATACTTCTTTTTTTTTTACCATATCATAAAGACTGGAACAAAAAAAACATAACATTTATTAGCGATAACAAGTCAGTATGGAAGCATTTAAATCTGATGCCGTAGGACTTTTATTTGATGAACTTCAAAACAATTTAGATTTTTTTTACCATTCAGGACCCTTTTGGAAACAAGCATAATATATCTACTTATCTGACCGGGATGTAGGGTGGGGATTTGGAATGCCTCTGGAAAATGAGAAATGTTGGATATATAGGGATAGACATTTTGCCTTGCAACAGGACACCTGCAGAATACTTATTGGGTTGATACAAGGGTTCTTAATTTACCGTTCAGACCCAACATGACGGAGGCATCCGTTTTAACGCTGCCGTTAACTATACATCCCGTCGAAAGAAAAAAAAAACAATCAACATTAGACTAAAACATCAGGGAAATTATATGATCCCTTCAGCCATATCACTACAAGGACCTCAACACCGTTCAAAACCTAGAGGTTGTAGCCTTTCTGAAAAAAGGACCAAAATATCGTATACTAGCGAAAATGAATTTTAAAGAGTGTCGCCTACATCCATGACCGTGGGCTCCATGCACGGAGTTTCACAGAAGACAATCATAGCATTGCCAAATTTCAGTTTAAGGCCTCAACTCGGAACATTTGAAGGTCACTTAAATGTATTGCTTACTAAACTACACAAATCATGTCATATATCGTTTCATTTCGGTTTCAAGTAAGTGTTCTACAACCATGTTTTTGTTGTCCTAGTTCCATGAGTGCTTTAGATTAATGCATTTATCGTGGAATAGATTTAGTAAGAAAGCATATGAAATTAAATGGATTTTTAAAGTGTAAAATTAAGTGGTTGAGTGACAGTTTTGACTTTTCGACTCTGTATATTACACATCCACACAATTTTTATCAAACAGAAGTTTTCTTGTATAATCAAATTTTCATTCGAAAAATTTTGAAGCAAATTTTATTGCTATAACTCATATAAAGCCTTCTTCTGTAATGGACAAGATAAATATTCTAGATAATAAAATTGAGAATGGAAATGGGGAATGTGTCAAAGAGACAACAACCCGACCACTGAACAGACAACAGCAGAAGGCCACCAACAGGTCTTCAATGCAGCGAGAAATTCCCGCACCCGGAGGCGTCCTTCAGCTGGCCCCTAAACAAATATATATACTAGTTCAGTGATAATGAACGCCATACTAAACTCCAAATTGTACACAAGAAACTAAAATTAAAAATAATACAAGACTAACAAAGGCTAGAGGCTCCTGACTTGGGACAGGCGCAAAAATGCGGCGGGGTTAAACATACTGAAACTGTGATAAGATGATTATTAAAGCTTTGAGTGTTATGCTATACACCATTTATATGCATACGAGACGAACAAGGTTGCAGGTCGTCACAAGGGCACCAGTTGCGTCCCTTTAATAACAGACTTATGAATTACAATTTAGCGTCAAAATCAGTAACCATACTTCCGACTGAATTCCTTTTACTGGTAATAGAAACAATTACGCAAACTTACCTTTACCTTGATGACAATTTTGCTTTAAAAAAGCAAGAATTTTCTAATTATATTTTCGAAAATTGAACTTGCTTTAATCCGGCAGCAATAATTGTCCTTTTCCCGATTAGGATATTTCACTGTAGTCCACATGGAAAACTCAAGACTTAAATTTACGAAAAAAAAAAGAAAATGTTTTGTTTCTTATTGTTCAATTTCCTTATTTCGACGGTGGTTCTTTCTGGCCCTTTTAAACAACTCAAACGCTTTGTCCGTGTCTGTCTATGTTGAGATATGTTTGAACATAGATGTATGGGTTTATACATCTATGGTTTGTACAGCAGTTACAACTTGCATGACGTATATTTTGTCCTTTTGACGATTTTTATCACGCTACATTTCAAGACCAATTAATTTCTACTAAACAAAAATGAGTCTATTGACCGCGCACAGATGTATATCATTTAAACGGAAATGTTCTAAGCAATATCATATAATTTTAAACCAAATGGTGATGAAAGGTTTTCGAGAAATAGCAATTTAAAGAGAAAAAACTTTTTTGTCGTTTCACGTATATTTTATATATTTATATATCTGTTAAAACGAACCTTGTTTTTTGGGGGGATGAACATTACTCGACACTTTAAAATTTGAAGCACGGCTAATATGTTTGTTTTATTTTGTCTGCATTGAAAATGTGTATTTGTTTGTTCTGGATATTACAGGTAACTTCTTGTCTTCGGGTGCATTACATTTGTGCGCATTAATGATGATGATGATGGATGGCTGCTTAACGTCCAGCGGCAAATTAATATGCATATTCAGGACGAGAACATGTTAATGTAATATGAATATTTACCCTGCTTTGTACTAGACTGACACGCTGAGCCGGATTTTTAACGTGCCAGTTCACAAGTTACAGTCCGCAGGAAGACATGCCACCTTACCCGGACACATTTTGCTGTGTCCGAGCCGACCAGTCTTTACTCTTACTCCTTAATGCCGCGTGCTTAGCCGAGAGAAGCAGCAAATACCAATTTTTAAATTCGTTGGTTTGACCCGGCCGGGGTTCGAACCCACGAAGGTTGCTTAGCTGAGAAGCAGAAAATATCAATTTTAAAATCGTTTGTTTGACCCGACCGGGGTTTGAACCCACGACCTCCTGGACTAAAGGCGAACACGCTACCACGAGACCACCGAGGCGGTTAGTGTGCGCATTTGATGATTATTATTTTACGATTGCGCGCAAACTTTTATTACATTTTTGCGTATTCATTTTACAGGTAACACAGCTGAAAACTAACCAAAGATGCCAAACTTATAATTTTGAACGCCAGACGCGCGTTTCGTCTACATAAGAATAATCAGTGGCGCTCGAATCAAAACAGTTGGAAGGCCATATCAAATACGAAGTAAGCCGAAAATTCCCCAAGTAAGGCTAAGGCAATCTATCATGACATGGGGGTAGAAAAACCTTAGTGTTTCGAATAATTAATCTTTTTATAAACAGTAAATTTACAGGCAAGAACATATCAATGATATTTCATGTTAAAAGTGTTGACTACTAGGCTGTCCACCAGCGGTGGCATCGACCAATGATATTTAGATAATTCATGGTGAATTTGAAATATTTTTCATATAGAGGTGATTGTCCATTTTATCCCGATTATTTCATTAATTATATTAAATGATCGTAAGAAATCCCGTAAGCGCTATAAGCCAATTTGTACGCTAAGAGCGAACAGTATTATGTTTCCTATGAATATTAAACAGTGGTCACGTTATAAAATAAGTTTGGTCTTTTTTGAACGAAAATATAAGGATTGGGAAAGTAATCTTAGTCATATCTCAAAAGCTTTCGTCCGTTTCACTGTTTTTTTTGGTTGCTTCCAGGACCAAGCATTTCACCTGATTTGTGCATAGAAAATAATTTATCCACCTCCTCGTTAGTAC